AGAGGAAGAAGCAGGCTCCATGCAGGGAACCTGAAGTGGGACTGGATCCCAGGTCTCCAGGATCACGTCCTGGGCTGAAGATGTCGCTAAACTGCTGAGCCACCCGGGCTGCCCTCATATACATTTTAATATGTACATATTAAAACATTACAAAAAACTACTATCACCTGATGGTGGTAGAGATTGCTTACTTGAAAATATTAACTTCATACATATCAAAATGCATCATCCTCAGTTCTATCATTGAACTGGGGTTCAATGCCTGAAGTATGTTAAAAAGATAAAGAAGTAGTTTATCATACCTTATAGCATTATAGAGTTGCCAGTCAGCACAAGAATAACTGACTTATTTTAAAATGAAAATGTTTTTTGATAGTTTGAAGGTTTATATGCTATGTAGGGCATTTCCCAGAAGACTAAAAAGACGCTTTAGATAAAAAGAAAGAAATGTATAAAACACAACTATCAGAATGATTTTTTTAAAAAAGAGTATTAGGGGATCCCTGGGTGGCGCAGCGGTTTGGCGCCTGTCTTTGGCCCAGGGCACGATCCTGGAGACCCGGGATCGAATCCCACGTCGGGCTCCCGGTGCATGGAGCCTGCTTCTCCCTCTGCCTGTGTCTCTGCCTCTCTCTCTCTCTCTGTGACTATCATAAATAAATAAAAATTTAAAAAAAAATTTTTTTTAAAAAAGAGTGTTAGACAATCTTTTTTTTTTTTTTAAGATTTTATTTATTTATTCATGAGAGACAGAGAGAGAGAGGTAGAGACACAGGCAGAGGGAGAAGCAGGCTCTACGCAGGGAGCCCGACGTGGGACTCGATCCCTAGTCTCCAGGATCAGGCCCTAGGCTGAAGGCGGTGCTAAACTGCCAAGCCACCCAGGATGCCTGACAATCACTCTTTTAACAAAGCCTTTGTTTTTTTTTTTTTTAAAAGATTTATTTATTCATGAGAATATACAGAGAGGAGAGGCAGAGACACAGGCAGAGGGAAAAGCAGGCTCCACGCAGGGAGCCCGACGTGGGACTCGATCCTGGGTCTCCAGGATCATGCTCTGGGCTGAAGGCAGCGCTAAACCACTGAGCCACCCAGGCTGCCCTAACAAAGACTTTTAATATCAATTTATTCTATCCAAACAAACTGACGTGACTCAGGTATTTAAAATATTTTAGGAACACTTCCTCAAAAATTTCCAAGACAGCAGCTTTCAGATGTTCCCTCAATACTAGGGTTGTTCTGATGAAGTAAATCTTATGAGAACTCACCACCAACCACAAGCATTTTCAGGCATAAGCTTACTCTTCTTACCACCCTGAGCTTAGAAGCAGGCAGTCCTCAACAAAAGTTCATTGAACCCAAGTACTGAAATTATAACAGCTAAAATACCAACATATCAATAAACAGGCTTTTGAAAGACTGTGGGAAATCAAAACACTTGTCAGTTTATTTTTTTTATTTTTATTTTTTAATTTTTATTTATTTATGATAGTCACAGAGAGAGAGAGAGAGGCAGAGACACAGGCAGAGGGAGAAGCAGGCTCCATGCACCAGGAGCCCGATGTGGGATTCGATCCCGGGTCTCCAGGATCGCACCCTGGGCCAAAGGCAGGCGCCAAACTGCTGCGCCACCCAGGGATCCCACACTGTCAGTTTATACAAGTATTCATAAACATGTGAAAATGTTCTAGTTTATCCTAAATGCCTCAGCCCTTTTGAATGCTACACTAATTAAAAGGAGACATTTCCTGAGTAGTTCATAAAATATGGATAGTATTTAAAAATGAAAAGCAGTGTGAAAAGGGCAAGCTAAATATTAGCTATACTCAGTCTTATTATATGGCATAGTGCAATCCAGTAATTAATAGTACCACATAATTGTTTTATTCAGGTACTGTTTGTCAGGCCTGCTTTTAAAATTAAGTCACTAAAGAGAAAATAATTTCAGTCTGTAATTATATTTAAATCATCAATTTGACTTGTGCTTTTTAAAGTCTATTAATTTAACAAAGATAGCCAAAAGTTGATATTTGAGGAAAAGACTTTCAGTTCAGGGTATAAACGATGAAAGATCATTTTAAAAAGCATGTAATAAAAGCATTTTCTGTAAAAACAAAGACACCTCAAGCAGGTCCACCTATACCTCTAGTTTAGGTCAGAAATGAAGTCAATCTTAAAAAAAAAAATCATATAATCTTTAACTTTGCACTAAGTCACGTTGGCCTTTTTCCCCTCATGAGTCAGGTCTTAGTGTACCTGAAGGAAATTAAGCATACTGAAAAGATACTGGCTTCAAATAATATACAGACATATTGATATATTGCATCAATATCTAGATATATAACCTAGTGGATTAGGTGTCATCCTTCAAACCATTTCTAGGAGAAAAACTTGGCTGTCAGCTTTCCTCAAAGCAAAGATACAATTTTCCTCAAAAACAGGATACAAAATTACAAATTCTGCAAAGTCCCATTTGTTAGCATCCTAAAAATCAGCAATTACCTTTTAGGTATAAAGAGCTAAATACAGCCCTTCCTTGTCTAAGAGTGACACTGGTCACCTGTAATTTAGTGCTTCCTTTATCTTCCAAATCTTTGGAGATTTACTATACCCTGTGAGGATCAACCAACAATGGTAATTTAATCCCAGTATAAACATTTATGGAAATTCAACACCGTTACTTAGGAAACGTGCCACTGAAGCATGAGAGTATAAAAAGAGCTTAGTTCTAAAAAGAAAATTGATCATTACAAATGAAGTAGTCTCTTAAATTCAAATGGCATCATGAAGATCAGTGATAATTGATTCCTCTGGAATGAGATTTTTTATTCCAGCAATTATTGTATGTGTTTAATGATATTTTTTACTGTGATGTGGCTCAATTAACTCACTGGTATATAAAAAATAAAAAGGGATTAAAAATATGAATTATATTAAATGCTATTAAGGTAAAAATAATGTAAAATATCAAAGTAAGATCCAGTACTAAAAAAAAATGTACCTCTACATAGACTCTAGAGCATCAGTTCTCAACCTCTTCTCTGACATGATAAATCCATGACATATTCCAATGAATATACTCGTGTTCTGGCCACATTTTTCAAAAACTGGAAACCAAAAAAATATATTACAGAAACTGAACTGGGATGCAAATATTAGTGGCAGACCAATATTAGTTCCACACTCTGGGTTATGGCAGATAATGCTGGTGCAGATTACACTTGCACACCAGCCCCAACTCCACACCTTTTTCTATCACGCAAGAATGCTTAGCAGAGTGCTAAAGAATCTGTAACAATGGAATGCTAACCTGAAATTTTCTCTGAATTATTTTTTAAAAGTAAATCAATCACAAACAAAACACAAAGGCTTTGTATGAAGAACAACGAACTCGTGACACTTCACAAAAAAACCAGAATATTAGTAGGTTGGGTTACCTGTAAACAATCACTCTTCTAGAACATTATTGAGGCTTTAGAAAATAAATGTTCCTTAGAGTATAGGACTTACATAAGGAATTTAAAACCTATAGTTGAGAAATTTAATTAACCTGATAACGAGGAAACTAATTCCATTTCTATAAATCAGTGATCTTGGACATATCCAATTCTCAGCCTGAAGTTTCTGCTGATCCCTCTCCCATTTGTAAAATATATACCAACCATGATTCTTTGAGATTACAAATAATCAAAGCGTGTCATTAAAGATGGAGTTCTAAAAGCTGATGTGAGGAGTTGAAGACTGGCTTGCATAGAGGAGAGTCTTAAAGCATCAGGGGAGCTAGATCTCAGTGAGGTAAATACAAATACTAAAAGAAACAAACTTCTGAAGGTGCCAGAACTCCAAATGAGGACAAACTGCTGATGCATTATAACAGTCAACACCAGGGCACTGCCATCTAATCCCTTTTCTGTGTTCTCCATACAGAGGCCCTATTTTACTGTAATATAGGACAGAGATGGGAAAAAAAAATTTTTTTAAATAAAGGGCCAGACAGTAAATATTTTAAGTTTTACTGGTCGCATGATCTGGTCTTGGTCTCTATTTTTTTCTACAATTCTTTAAAAATGTAAAGATTATTTTGTACCTGCTAGCCACATAAAATCGGGTGCTTGCCAAGTGAGGCCACAGCTTGTAGTTCCTTGATATAGAAGAAAAGCAATCCTCAGCTACTAACTCTCTACCCTTTTTTTCAACTTTAAATAATTTCAGATAGGACAGGAATTAGAGGTTCAAAGGACTATAAGGATAAGTGATCTAACTTTCCAAATGGGGAGCTCAAGGCCCAGGAGTCCCACATGACTCGCTAGTAACAGAGAGGCCAAACACTGGTCTCTCTTTCACCTTCTATTTTTGGAATACACTCAAATTTGAGGACTCCCTTTAAAATAAAGTATACTAAAGCTTTACTGTATTCACAGCTTAAAGTATTTGCTTTACCAGATATTTTTCACATTCTTTTATCAAGAAATTCACACTAAGGAAAGAAAAAAATATATACATATATATATATATATCTTTTTTTAAGAAAAGAAAATCTTAAAAATATTTTCAAAATAGTATGGAGATAGCGTGCGGCTTAAAGAGGCTTAGAATTCTGTCCCCTAAACTCGGTAAGCTGGACAGGCTGGCTTCCGAGTAGAAGCCTGAATAGGGCTGCTAGGTAGAGGTGACCAGTCTATGACATTAATATTCAAAGCAAATAGACATTACTCCTTTCTCATTAAGTCTCCCAGAAGACACTGGGATACCACACAAACACTTCACAGAAAGAGTCTAACCCTATCCATCTATATTTTTTCCTATTACAGATATATGGAATTAGGAATACCATTTTAATGCCACTTCTCAGAGTTAATTATATTAAAAAAAATCTTTCATTTTCCTTCCAATGGTAAAACTGAAGCTTATGCTTTGTACCTGAGTTTCTAGTTGTTTCCCACAGCACTTCTGGTCAAAAACCTCTCTTTATTATCAATGAAAAGATTCTCTAAACCAAAACAGACATAATCAGATTTTTTTTCATAATCAGATTTCCAAAAACCTCTCTTTATTATCAATGAAAAGATTCTCTAAATCAAAACAGACATAATCAGATTTTTTTTTCATAATCAGATTTTCCCTAAATTTAGTACATGAATTTTAAAACAATTTCATTGCCCTATACCAAAAAGGAAAAAAAATCTTTCATGGGTCAACTCTAAATATAAAGTTTGAAATTCCTTGAATCTTTTAAAATACACTTATACAACAACTGAATTTATAAAATATTGTCACTGATAAGCCATGTAGCATCCAGACTGTTTGAAGAAATGCTATCACAGGGTTGCCTGGCTGGCTCAGTCAGTGGAACATGTAACTTTTAATCTTGCAGGGTTGTGAGTTCAAGCCCCAGATTGAGTAGAGAGATTACTTAAAAATAAAATCTTTACCAAAAAAAAAAAAAAAAAAAAACCATCACATATCAGCTTCTAAAAGATCACAATTTCATCAAAGACTTGTGAAAATTTTCATTTTAAGTATCTAAATTAATATTTTTAGGTAAATTCTATGCCCAATGAGGGGCTCAAACTCATGACCCTGAGATCAAGAGTAACATGCTCTACTGACTGAGCCAGCCAAGTGCCCCTGAAAAATTTCATTTTAGATAATTAAGTCATGGGTTTTCTCCACATCATGGCCTCATTTTTCAGGAAAGAGGAATCTGACTCCTTTAAGACCAAAAATTAAGGATGTTCTCCATCATTAAAAAAGATTAAAGAAAAAAATCATTACTTAATGATCCGTAAGTGGCTCCTAGATCTTCCTTTTATTCTACCGTATTTAAAAACTCTTCTTCTTGAAGTTTCAATTTAAAGTCTTCTTTGATTCTCTCTAGCAACCCTGGTTTAAAAATAACATCCAATGCAGTCATTGCCAGAGCTTTGGCAGTACGTAAAGTGTAGAACTGAGCTTCTTGTGATCCTAAAAGGTAGAGAAAAATAAATGAATAAGCCTTCATATTTATTACAAATTACTGTACTGGTTTGCAGGTTAGTACTCAATATTGAAACTGCCTCTTCAAATGCCCACACCTCAATATTTTCTGATCATGTCAGAAAATGAAGTAACAATAGGCTAAACTAAATGAGCAGCTATTACCACAAAAAGAGAGCATATGCCAACACATTCAATTCTAAAAACACTTACCTGCAGCTTCAGTATATTGTTCTGTATGGTTCAAGGCATCAGATCCAATGTAAAAATATGGATGAATCCCAGGAACCACAAAAGAAACATTTCCAAAATCAGTAGATCCTTTGAAAGGTAAGAGAATCCATGAATTTCTAATTGCTAGTCCAATAAACACCAGACTGCACTTATCCAATTTCTATAGGATCTGACATGATTTACCACTCCTTTCCTTCTAGAAATTCTCTATTCCTTTGGCTTCCATGACTTGACTCTCTCCTGTCTAGCTTTCTGTTTCCTCTAAATTGCTTCCATTGCCTGTCTCCTACGTGCTGGTAATCCCTAGGGTGTCATATTTGGGCTTCTTCTTTGTGTACTTAGGCGATCTCAAAAACTCCTTTGTTTTCAATTACCTTTCAGATACTGACAACTTCTCTATCTGCAATCTAGACATCTTTGGGAGGTCCAGATTCAATAGGCTACTGAACAATTCCCCTTAAAAGTTCTATAAGCACTTCAAACTTAACAAATTAATAATATATACCAACATACCATACCCCAACCTGTTTTCTCCTGAACTCCTTATCTCAATAAATGACATCAACACCCATTTCTATGGTCAAGTCCTTTTGAGTCCACTTCATCAACAGCTACTATTATATTTTAGGAGATATATTGCTAACATGTAAACATATTAGTGATGCTTTTAAAAAGAAAAAATCTAAAATAATCCCCCAAACACTTGTAACTATTTAAATTCTAATCATTGCTTACTAAATTGCTAGTAAACAACCATAACAGTTATCCTCAGAAACTGGAATGCCCCTCTTGTAAGTACTAGCTAGCCTGCCTACTGATGACTGAGAATAAATTAAAATTTTATTTCTTAAGTAGCTCACTTAAAAAATTCAAATTTTTTTTAAAAGATTGTATTTATTTATTCATGAAAGACCCAGAGAGAGAGGCAGAGATATACGCAGAGGGAGAGGCAGGCTCCCTTCGAGGAGTCTGATACAGGACTTGATCCCAACAGCCCGGGACCACAACCTGAGCCAAAGACAGATCTCAACCCCTGAGCTACCCAGGTGCCCCAAAACTAAGCAAATTTAAATACTAGAAATATTTAGAATACAAAGGAAAAAGTATATTGGCTATTTCTAAAAGCAAATCTGCTCATTTAACACTTTACATTCACTGAAGAGTTCGTTTCTTTCCCCTAACCATTAAGTTTGTGAAATATATTGTTAAAAAGAAGAGCTATACCTCCCTACCTCCAAAGCTGCTAAACAAAACCATTTAACTAAAGATGATATTTTCCTTCCTCAAATAGCACAATATAGTATATATGAAAGAATCTAGTTACCTGAAAAGCCATTCAACATTGCATCTTCTGAAATAAATTCTATTCCCAGTTTTTTTCCATTTTCAACATAAGCTTTCCATAGGCTCTTATTGGGAAGAACATTGTAACAATAGTGTGCTCCACCTTTAATTTCTACCTAATAAAAAATTATAAAACAAATTTTGAAATAAAAAACTCATTCACTCTCTAATTTCCAAACCAGCAAGAAGTTTAAGAGAACACACTTTCCCTTTCGTTTTTTCACTTTCCCTTTCAGATACAAACTCTCTCAAATACTTTACCTTTAAAAATTATGTATTTTGTATAATGAGACTTCCCTAGGACCCTATCTCCTTTATGTTATATATACACCAAATCACACAATGTCATCTTGCTCTACTAATCTGTGATTCTCAACCTTAGTAACTTCAATAGGGTGTGGAAGGAGCCCAGGAATCTCCATTTTAGCCAGCACCTCCAAGTAATTCTGATGCAAGCAGTCCAAAAACCAGCCACTGAGGAACACTGCTCTAGGCTGTAGCCTCTAGAAGAAAAAAATTAAGCTTTGCTCATATCGAAAATACAAGCCGACACTGATACTACTGCCTGGTACCCTAAGAGAAAGAGAGGTTTACAATGAAGAAGGACTGACTATGGTCCTCATTTGCTATTTATTTTTTAAAGTACTCTCTACACTCAATGTGGGGCTTGAACTCATAACCTGAGATCAAGAGTTGCATGTTCTACCAACTGAGCCAGCCAGGCGCCCCCGATCCTCATTTATTAATCTCTGTATTTCAGTATATGAAGATTTACAAGTAGTTTACCGGTGGCCAGTTAAACGGATTCACAGATTTTGTTTTGATTAAGTCCAAAAGTTCCTCAAACTAAAGGTAATATGATTAGTAAAAGTCAATTTTAAAATGGCAGAATTGACATTTCTTCTAGTCTTAGCAATATCTAAGTTAGAAATAGTGACAACCTCATCATATAAGTCAGCCAAAATATTAAAAAATTAAAGAGACTATTTAAAATATAGATTAAAATCTAATAACAATGAACCTTATCCTAAAGGAATATTATACCTTAGGATACTAGCTAATAATAGTTCATGTATTTATTCTATAAGTATTTATATTTAGAATTATAAATAAATAAGGGATGAATGATTAATTTTTTACTCTCTGGGCACTTAACATAAACTGCCTGAGAATCACTGCTACTATGAGACACCATTACTATCAGAATAAATCAAACATATCCAGTCTAACAAGAGTAGAAACAAATAAGGTAGTAATAAGGATGATGGCTAGACCCTAATTCTTAACAAATATCTCATTTCCCACAAGAATCCAAAGATGGATTATATGATCTCTATTTTTCTTTTTTTTTAATCTCTATTTTTCAAGAGAAAATAGAGGCCTAAAGATATGAAATAAGACAGTAAAAATGTTTCCAAAGTTACAAAATCAGTAGACTGAGAGGTAAGATCCAGATCTTGGCTCTCCAACTAGACTATAAACTCCTCCCAGGGCAAGATTTAGGTCATTCTGAAACATGTCATCTTATGTATGCCCTATATGATTGATACATAAATGTCACTGACTTTATGGTTCAAATGAACAAACTTGCTTCACTAATTTCTGCATCTATTTTAACTTTCCAGCAAGACATCAGTATTTATAACATTACTGCACAAATCTGTAACTCCACCAAAATTAGCTTTTGCTGATTTTGCCAGAAAGTACCTTTTTGGGTACTGTACAGAGCAATTCTGAAAACATAACTGCTAAGAAGGAAGGCTGTAACTTGCAAAAAAACAGGGATTCTAGTGCAGCACTATCAAGAGCTATTCCATTAACAGTGTAATAAGATGACTGTATGTGGGCACTGAGCAAAATAAATAAGAATTACAGACTTTCATATCACCTATTCAGTCACTTGATTTTACATATTCAAATCATTGCCAAAAGAAAAAGGGGCAAGGTAGGTTCTCATCGAACTTTAAAAAAAAAAAGATTTATTTACTTACTTTAGAGAGAGTGCAGTCATGTACCTGTGTAGTGTGGGGGGAGGGGCAGAAAGAATCTCAAGTGGACTCTGCTCTAAGTGTGGAGCCCAATCTCACCACCCTGAGATCATGACCTGAGCTAAAATCAAGATGTTCAACGCTTGATCAAGACGTCCACCCAGGCACCCCAGGTTCTAATCTAACTTAACAATAATCTAATTTAATAACCCCAGCCCATATATATATATATATACCTCTAATTTTAACTTAGATTAACTCTTAAAAGGTCTTACTGTACAACCAGTAGCCAAAGCTGCAGCTCTGAAGCAGTCTTCTGCCTTTTTGGTCAAAACTGGAAGTTCTTTCACTGAGGGTGCACGGATGTAATAGATTAATTCAGAATAAGAGGGAATGATATTGGGTTTTACACCACCACTTTTTATTATGCCTATAAAAAGAACCAAATTACTGAAATTGAGTTTGGAGACCATTTCTTTAAGTTAAAATACACCCATAAAGTTTTCAGCCAGTATGTACATGAAGAAAAACAATTTAAATTTATTAGCTTCACAGATATGCCAAAGATTTTGATGTGTTGTACAAAAGTTTCTATACATAGGGTAATACTTTCTGGCTAATAGGAAAAAAAATTTATCTATATGTACTTTATTCTAAGGAATTTATATAAATTTAAATTATATTGCATGACTATAAACAAACTGTTAGAAACTTTTATAACTATCAAGCCTTCTGAAAGAGACTTTTATTTCAGTAGGTTTCATTACCATTGTGTTGTACATTTTGATAAACTTTTGACCTAAGGGATAAAAATGGTATAAGGTTATATAACTACCCTTGTACTACCAGAATCCTATGAATATTTTAAATGTCATTGGACTCTAGGAACATAATTTTTATGCCAGTAAGAAACCAAAGTAGGTCAAAGATCACTGAGCACTATTGCTGTCAAAACAAATGCATTTATTTGGAACTACACTGAGAATGAAGATTTATCCATTCAAAGTAATAACTAAAATAGATGTAGAAATAAAATTTATATGACCTGCTCTCAAAAAATAATTTCTACATATTTCTCTTTAAAAAAACTAAGAAAACGGGTAAGAAGTACAATTACAAATTAATTTCAGCCTATTAACAAAATCAGAAAGAACAGATATTAAAGTATAACAATATCTCAAATCATAAGAAAATAAATTTAAAAATAAATTTGTACCTTCAAGATAGTACTTTATTACCTTAGTTACCTTAAGGTGATATGCATAATTTAAAAAGATGTTACTCAGGATTAATGGCACTTGAAAAAATAAAACCAGTAACCGTAACTTTTTAAAAATTGAGCAAATGATTTATTATCATTAAACAACAGTGAGGATAACTGGAAAAATCAAGATTCAACTTTCAAATACCTACAGAAAGCATGTATGTCCTTACATAAAATCATTATCTCTAATACTCAAAATGACCATTCCCCATTTATACATAAATACTCTTAACTGCCTTCTTTCCCAATAAATATAAATCTCCTAGTGTTCTCTCACATGAATTTCTGAAAACGTTTAAAAATTTTTGGAATATTCTTATGAAGTACATAAAATGTCTCCAATTTTTAAAACTCAAATACTAATTACATTGCACTGAAACACATTAAGCACCATCTATTACACAAAATACTTGACATTCATACCATGAACTCTCCAGGTTGGTTTCATTTGCTGTCTCAAGACAGACAGATTGTTGTAGGCAAGAACAGCAGCATCTAATGCATTTACTCCTTCCCAGGGATATGAAGCAGCATGACATGCTTTGCCATAGTATTTCACAGTCACACTAGGAAACAAAACATCATTCGGAATTACTCTTTTCAAAATCACTAAAGAAAATCCAGGTACTGTCATTAGAATTACCCAACAAGTATTTAGAATTAATTCAGAATGCCAGAATTTTTATTTGCAAATCATTTGTAGAAATAAGTTACCTGAGTGATAGCTAACTATTATATAATATAGTGACTGACACAAAGATCTCATTCCAAAGAAAAAACTTTGCTCAACTGACTTCCTGTATAAATTAAATTTGTATGCAATTCAAGTCAAACAAACATGCAATTCTGTATTAGGGGCTAGAATTACAAAAAAGATGGCTCCTGTCTCCTTCTATACTCCACTGTGATAACTCTGTATCAAAGATCTGCATAACTCAGATAATTCTGTCTTATGGTTAATCGAAGATGAAGGAAAACAGAAATAAGTGACAAATTGGTTTTTTTATTTTTTTTAAAGATTTTATTTATTCATGATAGACATAGAGAGAGAGAGAGAAGCAGAGACACAGGCAGAGGGAGAAGCAGGCTCCATGCCGGGAGCCCGAAGGGAGACTCAATCCTGGGACTCCAGGATTGCACCCTGGGCCAAAGGCAGGTGCTAAACCGCTGAGCCACCCAGGGATCTCCCAATTTGTTTTTTTTTTTTAAGATTTATTTATTTATTCATGGGGGGGGGGCATAGACATAGGCAGAGGGAGAAGCAGGTTCCCTGCAAGGAGTCTGATGTGGGACTGGATCCTAGGACCCAGGGATCACACCCTGAGCTAAAGGCAGTCACTCAACTACTGAGCCACCCACGTGTTGCCCCTCCCCCGTTTTTCTTTTAAGATTTCTAACTTAGAAAGAGCTGACAATTTGAAATAAGTTACGACAATCTCTGAATAGATTATACTCACAATATTACAAGATACTGTAGCATTATCAGTTGTTCTTGACCAGTATTTTATTAGTGTTTCAAAATACCTGTATCACTAATATCTTAAAATTTTATCAATTACTGTTATTCCACTTTCAAATCGTTCTCATACCAATCTTAACTACTCCAAATAAAAAAAAAAAGGTTTAAAGGAAGGATTGCATAAGAAATAGTCGTTTATAACATGACTTGCTTAGACACTTTTTAAGCCTAATAGCAGACTATTTAAAGGGGAAAATCCTCCTTTAAAATTCAATTTTTGGGGCACCTGGGTGGCTCATCAGGTTAAGCATCTGCCTTTGGCTCAGGTCAAAATCTCAGGGTCCTCCCTGGGGGCAACCTACCTCCCTGCCCCACCTTGCCCCAGCTCAACAGGGAGTCTGCTTGTCTCTCTGTCCCCCCACCCTTACTCATGCTCTCCCTCAAATAAATAAAATCTTTAAACAAATAAAATTCAAGTTATATGTGTACCTATTTATGTTTATAAATATACTCAAAAAGTCCTGGGAGGATATATGTCTCTTCAGGAGGGAGAGGATGTGGGAAAGGTGGAGTGACTTTTTTTTAAATTTCATTTTAGTTCTTGGTTCTCTTTTCTGTCTTAAAAGATGGCCAACGAAAAATCTAGGAAGCCAGACACTAAAAAAAGGCTTGAGGTCAACTGGATTGATCAGGATCAAGGCCAAGAAGCCTAACTCATTAGTCCTAGAAGGCTAATGGGCTGGGAAGCCTGCCTACAGCTGCAAGTCCCTTCTAGCCAGAGGCACTGGCAGAGATTTCTAACCTCCAAGGTTCTCCAAAGATGTTCTAATATATACTACCCCTGAAATCAAGGTTAAAAAATTCTTCTTACTGACACAGCACCAACTCCTAATGATAAGAAGGAAGATACCAGAACAGTTAATCATCTGAAAACAAGGCCTCATGAGATGCTTAAATGTAAAATAACAGTATAATCTAGAAGCTCCGCTGGAATGGTTCTGCTATTAATCCCTAGCTACCGCAGAGGAGAGTATGTGGTTTTCTTCCAGCAGCTGAGCAGTGGCTCCTTTACACTGGCCCACTAACCTCTTGACCACTGACTACTAGGATCGAAAGTTCTGGTGTACAGAATTCAAACCACTTCAATGATCCATGCTCCTAAGTACCAAAAAAATTAAAGGTCAGCACCAGACAAATCAGAAAAGTACACACTGGCAAATTCCACTAAAATCCAGAGCTAGTTTCTCTATTCTCTCTCAAAAATATAATTCACCCTCTGTGCAAAGAACTCAAATGACAATAAACTAGAAAAGTGTATTTTCTTCCCAAGTCTAATAAAGCTGCCTCTTACAAATCTATTTAGTTGCAAAGACAATCCCATATTAAAGGATAGGTATTTTCAAGAAAATAGATTGCTCTCAGTTTAAAATAGAATATGTGTTGGGGTGTCTGGGTGGCTCGGTCTGTTAAGCATCTGACTCTTGGTTTTGGCTCAGGGCATGATCTTGTGGTTGTGGGATCGATCAAGCCTCAAGTTGGATTTTGCATTCAGTGCATGCACAGTCTACTTTGGATTCTTCCTTCCTCTGCCCCTCCCCACTCATGCTCTTTCTAATAAATAAATAATTTTAAAAAATTGAATATGTATCAACATATTCTGTTTGCTACTCTTATGCTTTTTAGGCACTACCTTAATAGTCCAATGATGAACACCACATTAAATCTCAATTTAGAAGAGGCTTACCAAATGTTATTCAAAGGGAATCAAGTAAGGTATTACATCATCATTTTTCAATTCACTTTTTAAATGTGTAAATATGGGAGTTTTACTCCTCAGTTAGGACATGCAAATATTTTAATAGTCTGTTTTCCACAAAGGGCTTATTTCAACTTGACTACTTACTCATGTTCCGCCACATCGGGTAGATAAGCAGCATTCTCTTGGGATGGGTGAGCCATAAAAACAACATCAAGATTTTTAAAAGCCCCTGCTTCAATTAAATCAATTTTGCCACCACCATCTTCTTCGGCAGGGGTTCCCAGGACAATTACCTAGAAGGAAATACGTGTGTCAGAGCAAAACAACCACAAAAAAATCCTCGGAGGAAAATAGCAAACAGGTTCCCTTGCACATGTATTCACAACCTACATTAAAGTCCTTAAACAATGGAGCGAGGTTTTATTCTCTGACAAATAATGCAGTGGGCATAAATCTAAGGTGCTAAATTAACCACAAATCTTAACTTATATTATTATTCCAATTTAGTGCTAAGTGTGCACTAAAGCTACAGCAGGAAACTCTTCCAAATTTTATAACTCAATTTTATAAAACTAATGGCAACGATGAAAAAAAGATAAATACTATATATACTGAGTTCCTCAAAATTCTCTAGGGACCTATTTCTTTTTTTTTTTTAGGGACCTATTTCTTAAAGCTTCTTCTTGACTAAGTCTTTTAGTAATGTATATAATTATTCATAAACACTTTACTAGTAAAGAACTTTCCAGTTACTTACTGGTTATCCTCACAACAACCCTGTGAGGTAGTCGAGCGATGTGTCATCATTTCAGGGATGGTAGTTTGAGGCCAGGAGTGAAGTGTTTGGCCCCATGACACAGAGCAAGTCTCCAGGTAGAGCAGGGATTAGTTGCCCTGCTCCTCAGGCCTGAACTCTGATTCCTTACTTAGCTACCTCATTAAAAGGTCTTAACTCATTAAATTTTTTTGAAGAGCATTAAATAAACCTTAAAACCACATTTAAAAACAGCCAACTATGACACAAACTTACTAATTCGATTCCACCAGTTCAACCAGGCAGATTTATTGGTCACCAAACACCTAATTAAACAAAAGAGAACTTTACAGAACATTTTACTTTGATATCTAAGCTTAACTTCTTCAAACAATTTTTAAAAGCAAAGAAAAATTATCTAGAAGCAACTAAAATACTTTCGAGATCACGTATAGGACTACAATGAAACAAGCTGGAAAAAGTCTTGTCTTGTTTAGGGAATCAACATAAACTCCATTTCCAGAGAGGACAGATAACCTTGCTACAAAACAGTGCATTACCCTTCAAATGTGTACATTTCCCAAAGTTGAGCCTTCTCTGGAAGTTACAAAACTCTCAAACTCTTAAATTAACCTGCTTTTTACTGAACCCTGGACTTTTTAAATATGATGACTTCACAAGTTACTTCTTGCTGACTTCTCTGAATCTTTCATAAACCTGATTAAAGTTAAATCTCTCCAGTGTTTCATGCAATGGCAAAGGACACTCCCCCCCCCAACAAAACAAAAACCTACCCAGAAGCATAAAGAGAAGGGCAGCTAAAGAGAATAAGCCACAAAAGATGAAACTGTTAAGATAAAAGAGAAGTTACTGACATTTGAAAAAAAAAAGGGGGGGGGGCTACAGAACATGAAAATAAAACCTCGCTCTTGCCCTTAAGCCAAATGGTGATGATTGTATCTTAGCTCACAGAATGAGGACAGACCATCTGAAAAAAAACAGTAACCCAATAACCATATGTCCTGTAACAAACATAAACGGCATTACTCCACTTGAAGAAGACATTTCTTAAAACCATGAAATATTGAAATTTAAGGATGAACTCACTTATGTAGCAAATATTCATTCCCTTCCCTACTTTTCGTGCGGGCGCTTTGGTTGTTCTAATGAATGAGCATTTCCCGTCCAAAATACCAATGATTCGAGTCACAACAGCTCCTCTGACTGCCACACACAAAAGATGTTCTGCAGCCTGAGAGGGGGGCCTTGGGTTTCCCTACCAGAACGACTTTCTTCCAGAGATTGCGCAACCCTGCCGGGGAACTGCGGTAGCCTCTGTTACCAAAAATAAATCACAACGAAAACCAGGCTCGGTTCTAAGTTCTTCCCCTTGGGAGAGTCTACTCAGTCGTTGACAACTACGCAAGAGAAACCCAAAATCTGTCAAACGTCGCCGTGCGGGCAGCTCCGGAGCTGCAGACTCGTACCCAGGAGCCCCGCCTCCGCGCCCAGGCCGGGCGGGGACCCCGAGGGGCGGCTGCGCTCGGGAAGCGCAGGATCCCGCGGTCCCCGGTCCCTGCCTCCGCGCCCAGGCCAAGCGGGGACCCCGAGGGGGCGGCTGCGCTCGGGAAGCGCAGGGCGCCGCGGTCCCCGGTCCCCGCCTCCGCGCCCAGGCCGGGCGGGGACCCCGAGGGGCGGCTGCGCTCGGGAAGCGCAGGGCGCCGCGGTCCCCGGTCCCCGCCTCCGCGCCCAGGCCGGGCGGGGACCCCGAGGGGGCGGCTGCGCTCGGGAAGCGCAGGGCGCCGCGGTCCCCGGTCCCCGCCTCCGCGCCCAGGCCAGGCGGGGACCCCGAGGGGCGGCTGCGCTCGGGAAGCGCAGGATCCCGCGGTCCCCGGTCCCCGCCTCCGCGCCCAGGCCAGGCGGGGACCCCGAGGGGGCGGCTGCGCTCGGGAAGCGCAGGGCGCCGCGGTCCCCGGTCCCCGCCTCCGCGCCCAGGCCAGGCGGGGACCCCGAGGGGCGGCTGCGCTCGGGAAGCGCAGGATCCCGCGGTCCCCGGTCCCCGCCTCCGCGCCCAGGCCAGGCGGGGACCCCGAGGGGCGGCTGCGCTCGGGAAGCGCAGGGCGCCGCGGTCCCCGGTCCCCGCCTCCGCGCCCAGGCCAGGCGGGGACCCCGAGGGGCGGCTGCGCTCGGGAAGCGCAGGGCGCCGCGGTCCCCGGCCGGCGCAGGCGGTGCAGGTCCCGAGCCAGGGCCCCACCTCACCTTCACAGGCGGAGGCGGCCCGGGGCGGCCCTCCAGGGCCCCCTTCACGCCCAGCGCGGCCGCCGCCCCGACCTCGGCGATCAGGTTGTGGCCGCAGGCGTGCCCGAGGCCCGGCAGCGCGTCGTACTCGCAGAGGAAGCCCAGCTGCAGCGGGCGCGGCGTGGCGCGGCCCCCCGGCGGCTCCCACTCGGCGCGGAAGGCGGTGGCCAGCTGGTAGTGCGGCTGCACCGTCCACGAGGCGGCCGGAGGCTCGCGCTCGAAGAAGCCGGTCAGCACGTCGTGGGCCCGGTGCTCCTCGTAGGCCAGCTCGGGCTCGCTCCAGATCGCGTGGCTCAGGGCCCCCAGGCGCTCCGCCGCCTCGTCAATGCGCTCGGCGGCGCGCAGCTTCAGCAGCTCCAGCTCCGAGACGCCGGCGCAGGCGCCCCCGTCCTCCGACCGCTCCTCCCCGGGTCTCATCGCGACCACAGCCGGTGACCTGCCGGCGCCCCGCTCGACTGCCCGTCCGCTGGCTTCCTCCGAGCTGCCCGCCTACCGCTTCAGCGCACGCAGCGGTGTCCGTGGAATCCGGGAGCGGCGCCCAGGTCGTCTCCGCTGCTCCCGGGAGCTCCGCCCCCCGAGCCCGAGGCCCCGCCTCCGCCCAGGAGCACCGCCCCCCGAGCCCGAGGCCCCGCCTCCGCCCAGGAGCACCGCCCCCCGAGCCCGAGGCCCCGCCCCCATCGCTCCCGGGAGCACCGCCCCCCCGAGCCCGAGGCCCCGCCTCCGCCCAAGAACCCCGCCCCCGAGCCCGGAGCCCCGCCTCCAGCGCCTCGCCCGAAGCCTGTCTGGCCCTCCCGCGACCCGCGAGTGCTCCGCCCCGGGGAGCAGGTGGGGAGCTGGTAACTGCTCCCAGCCGGGAGCGCTGGGAAGTCGCGGTGTCGAGGGACACCTCTCTCTTCCATCTCCTTGGCTGTGCTTACAACTGAATTATGCTTTAAAGTCATTATTACTTTTCTGCTGTGGCTTATTTCCCACGGCAGCAGAATGAAGACGGTTTTATTGGCTCATTGCCATCAGACACAGACCAAGTGGAACATGGTCCTTGAAAAAGGCCACTTTCCTTTCTAGAACAGTGATAAAAAAATTATACAAGATTTTTAGTTCATAAAACCAGATGCCAAAATAAATGCTATACAAAGAACACTGGTCTATAGACTATATTCTCAAGTGTTCAATACTGCCCTGACTTTCTTCTCTGGAGGTTGCTGTATTATCTAAAAGCTGCAACTACTCTATACAGTTTTCTTGTAAGAATGATGCTAGTGTGTAGAACAGCACCTGGAATATAGTAAGGACTGGATATGTATGAGCTAAGAACTTAAAATGAGAGCTTTTTTTTTTTAAAGCCCAAACTAAAGAGTTAATAAAAAGATTTATGGTTGTAAATATTCATGCCATTTTGTTCACTTGAAATTTTATTTTATTTATTTATTTATTTATTCATGACACACAGAGAGGCAGAGACACAGGCAGAGGGAGAGGGAGAGAAACAGGCTCCATGCAGGGAGCCTGACCTTGGACTCTATCCCAGGAATCCAGGATCACACCCCAGGCCGAAGGCGGCGCCAAACTGCTGGGCCACCGGGGCTGCCCGAAATTTGATTTGAATAGTAACAGCTACGAAAGAAAACATATGACCCGTTTAATTTGTAACTGTAATTGATGCTGAACTCAAGTAACATGATGTGCGCAGCTGCTGTGCACAATATAACCGGGTTTTAAATTACCCAGTGAAGAAATTCAAGATGCCATAGTCTTGTTTTCCTCCAGAATGAAGCACAAAATCTGAAGGAAAAAAAAAAAAACTGTTGATGATATTCTAAGGTGTTCCACATATTGAAAGTTTCAATTGGATTTTCATACTCTACCCTCTCTCCCTTAATTTGTCACAATTAGGTTAACTGGGATACAGGATACAACATATTCAGATAATTAGAGAAATGTATTTTTTAAAGGTTTTATCTATATTTTAGAGAAAAGTATTTTTTGAAAATAAGTCTAATGGAAGCTGCATAGTACATGAAGATTCTCTACTTCTGTTTTAACTTTTTTTTTTTTTAAGATTTTGATTATTTATTCATGAGAGACACAGAGAGAGGGGCAGAGACAGAGGCAGAGGGAGAAGCAGGCTCCATGCAGGGAGGTCTCCAGGATCACAGCCTGGGCTGAAGGCGGCGCCAAACCGCTGGGCCACCAGGGCTGCCCCTGTTTTAACTATTTCATATGTTAACAATACCAGAGTACATGTCACATTTGAACTTGAAAAACACTGTCATTCTCATTAACACAGTAACTAAATCTCAGCCCCGAAGGTATCAATGTGGTATTAAATTTCTGGACCCCCTTATTTATACTTAACAAATCATACCCTTGTGATTTGTTGATACCCTTTTGACAAAAATCCTACCTTTATCTATGAAATACAATATTATTGCTTTATGTGAGCAAAACCAATGGGAGCATTTGTAGAGCACTTACCCTGCGGCAAGCACCTAACATGTGCCAGGTGCTTAATGCGTATTGACTTATTTAATCCTCATAACAGCCTATGAGGTTGTTAATGTAATTATTTATCTTTATAGATGCAGTGTCCTAGATTACACAGCTAGTAAATAGTGGACCCAGGATGGGACAGAAGCCAGTCTGGCTCCCATTGGCCTGCTTTTAGCCGCCATGCTTTATTGCTTACGTAAGCAGACATCCAAATCCATAAATGCATCTGTAGCTTATCTATTTACATCAGAACCCGTAGCAATCACTTATTTTGAATAAATATATTGTAGCAACTCTGCCTGTTGACATAAGTGGGACACATGTAAACAACAGAAAAGGCATACATATCAGTTCTATACAGAAGCTATTTATATCGCTTGTCATGAGTTAACAAAGCTGTCACTTGAGGTAGAGAAAAGATGGATTCATTTCAAGTTCTGTTCTGTTTATGCACACACATGCTGTATATGTTTGGTTTCCATTGTGGGGACTGTATATTTCTTGCTCGTGGTGCTTTGTACCCTTTTATTTAATAAATTACAATAATTTGTTGGATGTGTATCTTCCCCAGAAATGTAGGGGAGAGGAAGAGGAATAAAAGGTGCTAAAATGATTTCATCCATAGAGAGAGTGCAGATATATCACCAGAAAATAAATAAAACGTAGAGTAAAACCTTAAAGAATATAGAAAAAAGGAATCAGTTCCAAATGTACAAAGGAGTCTTACTGACTACCTTTCCATTTTAACAATATTTGGAATCTGAACATTTTTCTCCAGAAATAAACTGTGGCCCTGGGCGATTTGGGGCTACCACTCCCAGCAAGCAAACTACAGTGCCACTCTAGGATATTGGTTGCTCACGACATCGCCCTAACCACCTCCCCTGGTGCCCCCACCTCCAGTACTTATGGTTATCCCCAAATAATTCTCTAGTTGATATAAACATGCAACTCGAACTAGACAACATATTAATAAATCACTCCTGGGCTAAGATGTTGGAAAAACTAGCTGTCATTCTGGCAGAAAGCAGTGAGCTAAGAATTTGGCAGAAAGGTGAATTTGGATTGAAGGTTAAGGAAAATGGAGGAACTTTGCACACATTGTTAAAAAATAAACCTTTATCCAGGCAATGGGTAACTACTGGATGTTATTAAAGGGTGGGGGGAGGTAAAACTGGATTTTTGTTCTGGAAGAATAATTAATGACTACGTGGAAGATTAACTGGAAACAGATTAATTGGTTCCCAGGAAGTCCCAGGATTCCAGAAACATTCCAAGGAGGGCAGAAGTGACAGGACTTGGTGCCTAACAGAATGTGTTTGGGGGGCAGGGGAACATGATGGAGAGAAGGAAGAGATGACCAAGGTCCATAGTATGAACAGGGTGAACAGGTATGTGGATAGTAAAGTCATTAAACAAATAGGGGCAATGTGAGCATGGGGTCGAGCTGATGGTTGTGTGTTAGACATGTCAAGAGGAAGTGGAGGCCCCCACTCAAGAGACCAGTAAGGAAAGTGGAAGAACTAAGGAAAGTGCATTTCTGCATATCTACTCTGCATAATGGTTATATCCAGGGGAGAATTAAACTATCCAGGGAGTGAGTGACTAGGGAGGGAAAAAATTAAGCTGAGGAAGAAACCTTGGAAAACAAAACAAAGGGAAGAAGCAAAACTCTCTGGCGGAATCTTGTTTCTGTTGGATAAGGCTCTAGTACAACTTGTTTTTAAGTTCTGTATAGATTGCTTCAAATGGCGCATGAGGTAAAGGCAGCTATTTCAGAGCCAAGGACGTCATGGTACACACAGATATTTGAGGCTCCCTTTGGCTTCCATCTCTCCTGGCAGTGAGATTAGCTGCTCTGCTGACCATAACCGTTCCTGGAAATGAGGACAGTGATGTTCCCAGAGGAGGCTTCTCCTTTGCCCCGATTCCCTAGGGCTTATGTACTCCAACACTGGGAGACGTGGCCTGACTTGAGCTGGATGAGAACACTTCTCTCCTAAGGTTATGTATGGTTCAGAAAAATGGAGAGAATTTTTATTGCTCGTCTACCTTCATTGATAAAACATTTAGAACTTGGACCCAACACAGGGCTTGAGGGTCCTTCATGAGATTCCTCTCTCAAGCCATGTGTGTACAGGTTGGCCATATGCATACTATGGTTAGTAATTACCTATACTAAAGATTCACTTCTCAAAATTCTTGGTTATTTTGGTGCTTATTGTTGTATATATATATATTTAATTCTGTTTATTTGAGACAGAAATAGCAAGAGAGAGCACGATAAGGGGGAGAGGGAGAAGCAGGCTCCCTACTGAGCCAGGATCCCAGCTCTGGGAGTATGGGGCTGATTCCCAAGACTCCGGGATTATGACCTGAGCTGATAGCACATGCTTAACTGACTGAGCCACCCAGGTGCTCCTGGTGCTTATTATTTTAAAGTTGCTAGCAGGAATGGATGGTGAAGATGGTTACAGAGTGCTTAAAATACTCAAAATGTTTTATAAAAGATGTGGTAATGAAGAGTCATTAATTTTAAAAAATGTGTGGCCTAAAAATTAATAAATAACATCTAGCAATTAGAGGCATTCTGGTAGATGAAATAGGCAGTCAACTAAACATTTCCAATAAAACCGATTAAGAAAAAACAATTATGGTGTTCCCGAAGGTCTTCTGCATAAAATGTCTTTCCCCTTCTGTTTTGCTACAAGGTGTGAGACCAAAATAAGGAAAGAAGAGACCCTCGTGGGAAACTGGCTGACCAGTTTAGGAAAGCCAAATCAAGTCTTTCTTACTAGTTAATATTGCAAAATATTTACTGTGTGTTAACATGGCATGAAATAAGCCTCTGACAATCGGTTAAATTGAAGCTAGAGCAAAACTAGAAGGTTGAGTGGCTCCAGGGAAGTGGTCAAAATACAAAGTTATGTAAAGGGTAGTTTCAATTATATAAGATGACTAAATCCTAGAGATCTACTGTATATCATAGTGCCAATAGTTGACAATATTAAAACTTTGCTAAGAGAATAGATCTCATGTTAATTGCTCTTATCACATACATGTAAATAATAAAGAGGACAGGAGAAAACTTTGGGAGGTGGTGGATATGTTTATGCCATAGATTGTGTTGATGGTTTCATGAGTATATACTTACGTCCAAAATCATCAGGTTATATACATTAAATATGTACAGCATTTTGTATGTCAACCATACCTCGATAAAGTGATTTATTAAAAAGAAAAGAAAAAGTGCTTGCAAGAACCTGAAAACCTTCAAAGGGTTGTACAGATTTCTCCCATAGCCCGGTGATTTCCAAGCTAAAAGGTTTTGGGGAGCTAATCAACTCTAGGAATAATTCCTGAGAACATTTAAATATTAGTGGTTACGGCAACAAAGCACTGTTAATTTTACATTTTTAATACATGCCCCTAAATTGTGTATCCTGTATTA